CCCAGCAGCCTGGGAACCAGAGGGCACATCACACTGCCCATTGGTCAGACATGAGCCCGATCTGGAATTTCAGGTCTATAAATCACCTGGGTTGTGGGGTGCTCATAAAACTGCTCTCCATGCCGGTCTGCCTGCTTGACCTCTTGTCCCCTCCCCACTTCCTGGGAGACTGGCCCAAGGACGGACCTGGGCATATAAAGAGAGCCTCTGTGGGAGGGGCTGGCCAGAGGCTTTGGGTAGAGAAGGTGAGTTGGGGACCTGGATGGGCGGGAGGAGCTGGTGAGGTCCGAGGGGCAGGGAGATCCAGCGCCAAGTGCTGCAGTGACTGCCCTGTCTGAGCCAGTTTCCTCTTCTGTAAAATGGGCTCCCACCGAGGGTGTGGGGGTGCTGGGCACATTCAGAACCAGCCAGGTCCCCAAGTGAGCCGGGAGCAGCTGGGGTATACAGTAGGAGTTGGGGGTGTGGCTGGGCTCTCGCTCACCTCCTGGTCTCACCCCTGCTCATGTGTCCCTGGCAGGACTATGGCTTCTGCAGCAGCAGAGGCAGAGAAGGGGTCTCCGGTGGTCGTGGGACTGCTGGTCGTGGGCAACGTCATTATTCTGGTGAGACATCTCCCAGTGCTGGGGGCCCACTCGGTGGATGGGGAGAAAGGGGTGACCTGGGCCTGGGGGTGGTTGCTGAGGGCCCAGGACTCCCCAGATGGCCAGTGCTGCAGGCTCTCAAGTCAGAGCAGCCTGGATTCGAATCCTAGTGCTGCCTCTCCCAGCGGTGTGACCTGGAGCAAGTGACTTTACTCCTTTGTGCCTCTATCCCCATGTATAGGCCACATGCTCATTGTGGGGATTGTTGTGTGGATTAATCCATGTATGGCCCTCAGCTTAGAAAAGGTGACTGCCAAATGCTAGGTATCACCATTAACATGATTATGGACGTGAAGTGCCTGGTTGGTGCACAGGAGGCTCAAAGTAATGAATAATAACAGTGTCTCTTAATTATTATTTAATGTTTTTTTAAAAATATGTGATACCTGTACATGGCCCTGGAGCCAAAGGGCCTGGGTTCAAATCCCAGCACTGCCACTTTCTATCATGGGACCTGTGACGTGACCTCCCTGGATTAATGCACTTCGAGCAGAGTTTGGCTGAGTGCTCCCCCTTTGCATGTGGCGTTTCCTTGCATCCTTGAAGCAATAGGAGGCTGGGTGTGGGTGGGGGGCAGGGGTCTGGCTGGCCTCCCTTCCCTCCTGGCCTCTGCCCAGCCTCACACAGCCGTTGCTCACAAGGATGAGTATCACACAGAGAGCAGTTACAGGGCCGGGGCCTGGCATACACAGTGAGCACTCAGTGAGGGGTGGTTTGATTGTGGCCAGGGTAGCCCCTGAGAAGTCTTCCACTCTCTTCGATCTCCATCCCTCACCCCGTAAGTAAGAGATTTTTCATTTCCCCATTTCTTTAAGCGAATACAAGCAAAGGGGAACATGTTTACCTATTTTCTCCCCTTACCTGTACAAATGCAGCTCATTCCGCATCCTGCCCCATGCCTCCCACTTCTTTCCTGCTCGCACAGTCTGTAGGCCGCACCGCATGAGTCCTCAGAGAGCCCCCTGCCCTTTTCCGCTGTGGTGCTGCGGGGAGTTATCTCGTGGGTTTGTGATTTTCCTGCGTGTAGGATTGATTTTTGCAAGTGGAATTGCTGAACGAAGTGTTGATGCGTTTGTAATCGTCCTGCCCGCAGCCAGATCCCTGTCCAGGGAGTAACACCGCTTCTTGGGGGGCGCACTAGCTGAGTGCTCCCCCTTTGCATGTGGCGTTTCCTTGCATCCTTGAAGCAATGGGAGGCTGGGTGTGGGTGGGGGGCAGGGGTCTGGCTGGCCTCCCTTCCCTCCTGGCCTCTGCCCAGCCTCATAATGCTCATGGATGTCTTTGCCACTCTTATTATGTGCCTACTTTGCCAAGAGGGCAGCGAAGGCTCAGAATGGGGAAGAAACTTGCTCATGGAAACTTATGCAGCCAGGGCTGCCCCCCTAAGCAGGCCTTTCTTCCTGGCCACCCTGGCTAGCTGTCAGGCCTGGCCCTGTTTGCTGAGACGGTATGGGTGACAGCCGACCAGTACCGCGTGTACCCACTGATGGGCGTCTCAGGCAAGGACGACATCTTCGCTGGTGCTTGGATTGCCATCTTCTGCGGCTTCTCCTTCTTCGTGGTGGCCAGCCTTGGTGTGGGTGCCGCGCTGTGCCGCCGCCGGTCCATGACCCTCACGGTGAGGCCCCAGGGGCAGGGGGTGGGGACGGGCGAGCACAAAGATCATCATCACACAGTCGCCATAACAACCATTACCGCAGTCATTTCATTTCATCGTCCTGTAACCCAATAACCTAGGCTAGGCTATTGCCTCATCCTACAAAGAAAACTGGGGCACAGGGGAGGAATGGAAGGAAGCCCTGCCCAGCAGGATGGCTCTTGAGTAGCAGGACTGGGATCTGAACCTCCACTGGCTGGTCTTCAGCATGTGCTGGTGAGCTCTGTCAATAACAGTGACAGTAATAATAATAGCACAGCTGCCATTTAAGTGTGATGCCACTCACTACATCCTAAATGCTTTATGTAGATTAGTTTATTTACTCCTCACAACCCACCATGAGAAACCACCACCACCACCACCACTGTCATCATCATGGTGAGCCCATTTGACAGAGTTGAAACTGAGGCTCAGAGAAGTGAAGTCACGTATTCAGGGACACACAGCAAGTGACAGCCAGAATTTGAACCTGAGCAGTTCAGCACTTGAACCCGTGCTCTTAACCTGCCACCAACAATAATTGAGACAATAGTATCCCACAACTCCCTAGGGCCTCTCCTGTGCATGCCACTAGCCTAAGCTGTTAGAAAATGACCTCCCTCAATGCTCCCAAAGCCCTCTATGCATTAGAAGTTAGCATTTCTTTACCCATTTACCAGATAAGGAAACTGAGGTTCAAAGAGGCCAAGAGCCCAGGTGACATGGAGAGCAGGGTTTCCATACCAGCCCCACTGACAACGCTGTGCTTCCTCTACAGATGAGGGCCTTTTAGATTCCCAGGAGCAGCTATTTATTCAATCAACAAACATTTATTGAGCAATTACCATGTAGCAAACCCTATGCTAGGCACTGGGGCTATCTAGTGAGCAAAACATAAAAGCCCTTGCCCTAGGTGGGGGATGCTCCGCTGGGGGAATGGTAACCAGGGAAAGAGCCTCTGGAGCTGGGGGAGGGGAAGCCTCACAGTCAGAGAAAGCAAAGGCGTGCAGGTGGTGAGCGGGTGAGCGTGTGTGTATACCTGCAGGAAGAGCTTCCAGCAGAAGGGAACAGCAAGAGCAAACGCTCTCAAGCCAGAGGGGACCAGGTGTCCAGTGTGGCTGGGCCAAGTGGGGGTTGGAGGCGAGTGAGCAGAAATGAGGGAGAAATGAGAGTGGGCATGGAGGATGAGGGGAGAAGGGGAAGGTGGCTCTTTGGGCCATGGTAAGGACTTCCGGCTTTACCTGGAGTTAAGACAGGGCCATGGAAAGGCTCTTTTCCTTTTCTTTCCTTCTTTTTGTCTGGCTTTCCTGCATTTAATTCTCTGGCATAACAATTTAACCAAGGCCCTAAAAGTTCACCCAAATAGTGACAACAACAACAAAAGCTTGTGTCTGTCTTCCCTATTAGTTTGTCATGAACTAAGACACAGGATTTTTTAAAATTATTATGGGGCATTTCAAACATAGAGTAAAATGAATGGCGTGACAAACCATGTGTACTATCACCTGGTTTCAACCACAGCAACCTTTGGGCAACCTTCCCCGCCACTCCACCCCCTCTGCCTGCCCACATTTTTCTTCCCAGGGGTATTCAAAGCACATTCCAGACATCAGGTCGTTCACCTGTAGATGCCTGAGTGCACATTTCTCTGAGTGATAAGAACATTGCTTTAAGGCGGCCGGGCGCGCTCTGCCGCATCATCTCATGTCTCAGCAACGGCTTTGGGACTTCAACACTCTGCTTGGGGGCTGAATGTGAGAGCTGAGGATAGCTGAGGATTCAGGTGAGACGGTGAGGACAGAAAAGTAATTTTCATCAAACACCGAAGAGCTTTTCTCTTTTTTTGCTCAAGAAATTTACAGACCCACAAAATTTCACCCTAGTCCCTCCCTATTTTCCAATATCTGGTCTGTGTTCAAACATCCCTGGTTGTCTTGAGAATATCTATTTTTTTTCTTTTGATAGTAGACATTAATTAAGTTGCATCTAAGCCATTCAGGAAATACTTTACATATTTTCTTTTTTCATTTTCCCCTAACATCTTACTATAAAAAATTTCAAACATACAGAAAAGGTGAAAGACTTGAACTGCAAATAGCTGTGTACCCACCATGGAGATGCTGCCATTCACGTTGTCCTACATTTTTTCCTTTAAATTACAGTTCTATGCATTGATCCATCTCTTGAGGGGGTGTGACATCACAAGCCTTGCCCTGACTGTGCTGTCCCTCTGTCCCTCTCCCCATCTCTCCCCAGTACCTGGTGCTCATGCTTACCGTCTACATCTTTGAGTGCGCCTCCTGCATCACGTCCTACACCCACCGGGACTATGTAAGCTGGGAAGAGGCCAGGGGAGGGACACAACTTCTGTGGGGGTGGTCAGCCTCTCTCCCCATCCAGCCCCACCGGACCCTGTTCTTCCTGACCCTCCACAGATGGTGTCCAACCCATCCCTAATCACCAAGCAGATGCTGACCTTCTACAGTGCAAACACGGACCAGGGTCAGGAACTGACCCGCCTCTGGGACCGCATCATGATTGAGGTGGATGAGGGAGGGTGGAGAGGGCTGGAGGGTCTGGGGCTCTGCCCACAGATGTAGCTAGGGCTCCCCTTATGCCCACTGGCAGGTGATATCCACTCACATGGTTCCTGTGAGGCTGGGGCTCTGCTCATGGTCATTTTCCAGTGTGTAAACAGGCCCCCAAAAGGGAAGGTCCCTGGCCCATGGCCTTGTGGTTGGTAAGTGGCAGAGCTGGGATCCAAACCAGGCAGCCGAGATCTAGAGCCCCCGCTCTTAACCATCACACATGCTTTCTTTCTCTTTTTTTTTTTTCCTTGTTTGAAAGCCGACTTTCTTTTCTTTTTTATTAAGGTATCATTGATATATTCTCATATGAAGTTTTCACATGAAAAACAATGTCATCACTACATTCACCCATATTACTGAGTTCCCCCACCCCATGGCAGTCACCATCCCTCAGTGTGGTAAGATGCCAGAGAGTCACCACTTGTCTCCTCTGTGCTACACTGTCTTCCCCATGATCCCCACACACCAACACATGCTTTCTTAATAATAATAACAATAAACAGTGAGCACTTAAACAACCAAAGTGGGCACTAACTTTGTTTAGCATCATTTCAAGCACTTTTCAAGCTTATTTAATCCTCACAACTGCCTATAAGAGAGCTTTTTAACAATGAGAAAACCAAGGCAAGAGGTTGGCTGGCTTGCACAAGGCCACACAGCTGGTAAGTCATAGATCCAGAGGGACTCAGACCCAGGCCACCAGCTTCCAGAAGCCGCATTCTAATTAAGCCCAATGTGATATGGCAGCACAAGAGGAGAATACTGAGGACCAAGGGAAACTGAGGTCGCAATTTGGCCCAAATTATATAGTTAGCTAGGAATGGAACCCATGTTTGAAGGAGCCTGTATTTTCATAACTTAGGGGCCACAAATTAAACACCCACAGAGGCCAGGAGAAGCCAGAAACCTGACTTTTATCTCATGTTTTGTCGACAGCTAAATCAAAAGAATTTAAAAATAGATCACGAGTGTGGGTTGGACCCAAATCCCCCATGAGCCTTGGTGCTGGGACAAAGACCTTCGGCCCGTGCTTACATACCCAGACACTGCCCACCCCCGACGGAGGGGCCCGGGGCACAGGGAGCGTGGGCCCAGCTGCGGCCCAGCCAGCCTTGCCCTTCCTCACTGTACGACCTCTGGCTGCTGGCTCTCCTCCGCGAGCAGGAGCCACCCTGACCCCTGCCCTCCTCTCTAGCAAGAGTGCTGCGGCACATCTGGTCCCATGGACTGGGTGAACTTCACGTCCATCTTCCGGACCGCCACACCAGAGGTGGTGTTTCCCTGGCCCCCACTGTGCTGTCGGCGAACTGGCAACTTCGTCCCCCTCAATGAGGAAGGCTGCCGCCTGGGCCACATGGATTACCTGTTCACCAAGGTGTGTCCCTCCTCGCTGACGCTCCGTCTGTCTGTCTGGCCCTCTCTGGTTCTACTCTCTCTTCCTCCGTCCCTCTGTCTGTCAGCTCCTCCCCGCCCCCCTTTTTTTTTCTTTTCCTCTTTATCCCACCTCTCTCTGGTTTTCTCAACTCTCCCTCCATCTGTCCATCCCTCCCTCTCAAGTCAGGGGGATGCACACAGGGTCTGGTGCAGACCTGACTCCTGCAACTTTCCTCAGGCTGTCTGGGACAGAGAGCAGCAGTCGTAGAAACAGCAGAACACCAGTAAAACAACCAACATTTATGGAGCCTTTGCTTTGTGCCTGGCATTCTTCTAAGTGCTTTAAGTTTTTATCTTGCTTCAGTCTCACCACAGCCTCATGAGGTAAAGAGTATAATTAGCCCATTTTATGATGATGAACCGAGAGTTCACTTGCTAGAGAGGGATGAAGCCAGGATTTGATTCCAGGTAGTCAGGCCCCAACCAGGTGCTTTAACTACAGCAAGGTGAGTGCAGAGGCCGAGAGAAATCAGAGGAAGTGAGACTGAGATTTGAGAGGAGAATCGGTCCCAGTGGTCTCCCTGGCTGCTTTTAGAGGGCAGTGCTGTCAAGATCACTACTTCACAGATGGGAAAACTGAGGCTCAGAGGGTCAGAATCATACCTCAGCCCCACAGCCAACAAATGGCTCATGGGCTGAACTGGTCCCCAGTTCAGCCCTGCCTGACTGCAGGATGCAGGCCTTGAACCTTTGTTCTCAGCTGCCTCCAAGTGGGGGAAGGAGTCTCCGTGATCGGGACTCGTGGGGTGCTGGCCGTCTCATCTCTACATGAGGAGGCATCGGATTTGGACTAATCCTAAAGGTGTATTTCAAATCCTTGGAAGTTGTGAGTCCCATGGGAAACCAGCTCTAAACAAAAGTGCCCCCGGGTGATCACAGCCACCATCGGGGCAGCACCCACCTAGTGCAAGGCTGGTGCAACACGGCATCCCTGCTCCCCAAGACCACCACCGCAACCCCACTGCATAGGCAGGAAGGCCGAGGCCTGAGGAAGGAAGTGACTTTCCCAGGGTGCACAGGGCCTCTCCCCTTAGCGGCCAGCCCCCCGGACATCTTCTCAGACCTCCATCTCCTCCTGCCCAGGGTTGCTTTGAGCACATTGGCCACGCCATCGACAGCTACACGTGGGGCATCTCATGGTTTGGGTTTGCCATCCTCATGTGGACGGTGAGAGGCGGGGAGCCTGTGGGCGGGTGGGGTGTGGGTGGGGGCTGGAGCACCCTCACCTGACTGCCTGCCCGTCCAGCTCCCTGTGATGCTGATTGCCATGTATTTCTACACCACGTTGTGAGAAACCAGAAGGGAAGGCCACGTGCAAACTGCAGCCTCCTCCCCCTGCTCCTGCTTTCCTCCCGCTGAGGCCTGGATGGCCACCTCCCTCCCTCCTTCCCCATTCTGAGCCCTGCTGGGACTTGGGGGTGCCCTAAACCTCCTGGACAGGTGTGCATGGACCCTTAGCCCTTGGCCTCATTTCACTTGGCTGATTCCTGGCCCATCTTTCAGCATCAAATCAAAGTCCTGTCCTCAAGGGACCCCTCCCTGACCCCGCCACCCCAACCACCAATGCCTTTATTGTAGCTGCCTGAGCTCCCTCAGGGCAGGTGTTGCCATTATTGCTGAATAGTTTGCGATTGTTTAAGCTCTGATAGACTGGGATTGCTGTGCGGGGAGGGACAGAGTTCTGTCCTGGCCACTTTATTGTCCCCAGCATCATCCAGCACTGGGCTGAATGTGGAAATTCAATAAATCCTGGTTGAATGAATTAATCTGTTTTTTTCTGGGGCAGAGGTGAATGACACAAGAACTCTTCCAATCCAAGTGGAAGAAACCTAGATGGCACTGACTGAAACATGACACAGAATTTAGTGGGTCATGTAACTGAATCTGTAGGACTGACTTCAGGCATGTCTGAAGCCAGGGGCTGTAGGTTTCCAGAAAGCCTGCTTCACTCTCAGACAGGATTTCTCTGGCAACACCAGACTTACATCATTTTAGCTAAGCAACGCGGCAGCAAGAAGGGCCTCTCTCCCAACAGCTCTGGCCAAAGTCAGGGATTCAATCTCACTGTTTTGGTTTAGGGTCTAGGCCCATCCATTATGGGAGAAAGGAGGCCACCTGAGTGAATGTTCTGCTAAGGATGCAACCAGTGGTAGTGCTGGGAAGGTGGGTGGTTTATCCAAGGGAACTGAGAGTGCAACGCTGTTGGGCCAGTGCAGGTGACAGACATCCCCCTCCTAGGGGCTGTGGCTTCCAGCAAGTTCTCTAATGAGTGCACGATGATGGCAAACACTAAGAATCTCACATCGCCCTTTTGTTCTCCCTGAAGCAGGCCCAACCTCTGTCTACTTTACAGCAATTAGGCCCCTGCCAGGAGGGCCTGGCTTCCTTCCCCATCAGATGAAGTTTCTCAGGGTCCTATTGTGCTCCATTGGTCTGCAGATGATCTGCAAGTGCTAAATTCAGATGTCAGCTCTTTAAAATATACTTTCAAAAATATGTAATGGTCAAAGAGGTCATTATTCTTATTGGGGTGAAAAATGGGAAATGACCTAACATCATCAGCAGGGAATGGGTTGTAAAGCTCATGTTATATCCCTGGGCTGGAATTTTCTGTGGCTGTTAAAAGGTAGATCGATGTGAGCTGATAGAAAACACATCATAATGGTCTAAGTAGTTGGAAAGCGTATAGAAGGATGTTCATCACAGTAACATGAATGAATGTCAGTAGGGAACTGATTAAATTAGCTACACACTTAGCTACATGCTGGACTACCATACACTAGTAAAAAATGCAGAGTAGAAAACCTGCAAACCACATACAGTACTTTATTCCTGTAGATGCACATGTTGATTGGTCTTTTCTTTCTTTTTTTTATTAAGGTATTATTGATATACACTCTTATGAAGGTTTTACATGAAAAAACAATGTGGTTATTACATTCACCCATGTTATTGTGTCCCCACCCATTCCCCAGTACAGTCACTGTCCATCAGTGTAGTAAGATGCCAGAGTCACTATTTGCCTTCTCTGTGCTACACTCTCTTCCCCATGACCCCATACACACCATGTGTACTAATCATAGTACCCCTCAATTCCCTCCCTCCCCACCCGCCCTTCCCCACCCCTCCCCTTTGGTAACTGATAGTCTCTTCTTGGAGTCTGTGAGTCTACTGATGTTTTGTTCCTTCAGTTTTGCTTTGTTGTTAATCTCCACAAAATGAGGGAAATCATTTGGTACTTGTCTCTCTCTGCCTGACTTATTTCACTGAGCATAATACCCTCTAGCTCCATCCATGTTGTTGCAAATGGTAGGATTTGTTTCTTTCTTATGGCTGAATAGTATTCCATTGTGTATATGTACCACCTTTTCTTTATCCATTCATCTACTGATGGACACTTAGGTTGTTAACATATTTAGGCTATTGTAAATAGGGCTGCAATAAACATAGGGGTGCATATATCTTTTTGAATCTGAGAAATTATATTCTTTGGGTAAGTTCCTAGGAGTGGAATTCCCAGGTCAAATGGTATTTCTATTTTTAGTTTTTTGAGGAAAATTTCCCATATTGCTTTCCACAATGGTTGAACTAGCTTACATTCCCACCAGCAGTGTAGGAGGGTTCCCCTTTCTCTGCATCCTCACCAGCATTCATTTTTCTTAGTCTTTTTGATACTGGCCATACTAACTGTTGTGAGGTGATATCTCATTGTGGATTTTATTTGCATTTCCCTGATAATTAGTGATGTGGAGCATATTTTCATGTGCCTGTTGGCCATCTGAATTTCTTCTTTGAAGAATTGTCTGTTCATATCCTCCACCCATTTTTTAATCAAGTTATTTGCTTTTTGGTTGTTGAGGTGTGTGAGTTCTTTATATATTTTGGACGTTAACCCCTGGTCGGATATGTTGTTTATAAATATATTCTCCCTGGTCTTTTCTTTTTAAAGAAATGGGTCAATGTTTTTTAAAAAATGTTTTTAAAATGGGAAAATTTATCTTAAAAAAGCAAAAGTAATTTGTAACCCTTCCACTTACAAACATAGAAACAGAAGAAACCCATGTTTCACTCTCCAGTAACCGCCCCCTGCCCATAATCTGGTCCAACCCCATAGATAAGTACTATTAACACACAATAAATCTCCTTTTCAGCTTTTCAAAAGTTTATATTGTCACATCTCTATATACTTGCAAGAGCAAACACACATTTGCTAGAATCATGCTTTAAATATTGCTTTGAAGCTTGCTTCCTTCACTTAATGAGGTATTGTCATCTTCCCATAAGAGTATCTATGAATTCACCTTTTTTTTTAACTGTTGCAATATTCCAAAGTATAGATGTGTCAGAGATCATCATAATCTGTTGTTAAGTAAACAAGGCAAGGAGCAGGACAGTATTGTGTGATTTAATTTTTTTATAATATATGTGTAAACATATACATATTTCCCACGAAGGAGAGTGGGATGAAGGGCTGAGAGGAGGAGGAATTTTCACACCATATATATCTTTATTTTATAAAGATCATCTATTATTTTTTCAAAAACAAAACAAGGGGAGTGGTTTGTAAAATGCTAAACAGTTATAGCTTCACGTCTCAAGCCAGAATTTTTAAAACACCATGTAAATGTGATATGTACCAAATTGTAACACACAAGAGCCCCTCCAGGTAAACCAGTCTAACTGGCTTTTCTGCTGGCCCCAGAATGAGAATTCTGCCCCCAACGTGGGTACATATTTTAACTGCCTTGTAAACTTGTCAAGGAAAGGGGGGATTCCTGCCTACTCTACTTTTAAATTCAGGTATGTCCTCATGAGCAAGTTCACAGAGATGAGGTCTATGACTCAGATTCTCTGAGAGAGGCAGGGCAGCAGAACCGGATTCTTACCAGCCCCAACACACTCTCTGAGCCTCAGTGTGCCCCTCTATGAGATGGGAGTTCTACCTGCCCCTACTTCATGGCATAGGGCCCAATACATCCTAAGAGCTCAGGAACAAGTAGACTTTTTATTACGAATCAGGAATTTTCTTGATCCTGTGTAATCAGAATCAAATGCAAAAATACACTGCCTGCTGAGGCTGGCTACTTTCTCTGGTGAACTCCAAATTCACATGTTTGGAGCTCCACCAACCTCAATACACAGAAGCTGATTTGCTGAAGTGACTCACATATTTGTGCTTAAGAAAGTGAAGTCAGACCTGAAAATGGGTGGTGCTTTCACTGAGAGATGTTTAACCTATGGGCTCAGCATATGTTAAAGTTAATACAATGTTTTTTGTCTGAGGGTCTTTGAGGAATGTCTGTGAAGCTAATGGAGATTGATATGCATAAAGTCAGTTTCTCCCTTAAAAATCACATTGCCAAAGAATATTTAAGGTCATGGGAAAATACTTGGGAAATGGTTAAGTGAGAAAAGATTACAAAAGAGCATGCTAAGTGTGATTGCTTTTCTAATAAAAATAGAAATATGTGCACATTTGCATTCAAATTGGAAAACAAAGTCTCCCAAAGGTTAGCACTGGAAGAGGAGACACTTGCAGGGTTTTTTTTATTTCATTCCTTGAGCATTTTGGTATTTTCCAAATAGCCTGTGATGATTATTGCTTTGGTCCTCCAACAAAAATTAAGAAATAAATGTTAATAAAAGTGTCACTGCAGGACCTAAGATGTGCATTGAGGAAAGAATTTTTAGTCTGCTAAACATTGTCAAATTTTACCTGAGCTGTTTTGAGACAGGTCAGGCCTTGACAGATACTGGGGCCTCGGGGTTGACCTGGTCCCTGGGAGAGCAGGTAGGCAAGGTTGCACCCCCTCCCACTCTGCTACTACCTTCTCTGGCGCCAGCTGGTCACATATTTGCAGAGTGCAGCTCAGCCGGACTGGCACCAGTGTGGTCTGGACAAGGCAGGCCTCAACCGGAAGGACAGGTTTGTCCCCTCCACTCAGAGGCCCACTCCTGTGGGTGAGAGGGGAGGAAAGAGATGACAGCCAGGTGAGGTTCCCAGGACCATGCAAGAGAGATAGCCAACTGATGGCTGTTCCTACCACACTTCTACATAATCACATCTGTCCATGGC